CACACCGGCTGCAGCCCGAGCCCAGTACCTGGGTTCTGGAGTACCATACTTTAATCCTTTTTTTTTTTGGGACCTGTTCCTTAAAGGAACCATTATGAAATTAGACCCTAAACCCTAAACCCTAAACCAAAGCCCAGGTACTTGATTCACACTGCCTTGGTCATCAACGGCGGGAATCCCGCTCACATAGCCGCTAGGTTCCCCAGAGGTACCCATTTGCCCTTGTGTTTGGGTTCCCTTAGTAACACCAAACAGTAGGAAAAAGGGTAGCCCTATTTTGGGGTGTATTTTGTCGGTTATTGAGGGGCTACTGGGGAAACTAGGCCATGATGATCGAAGCCGGGTGTGACGTGAATGAGCAGTTCTACCCCAAAAAGCTCGGATACCGACTTCTGTACATGATTGGCGCCTTCGCAGCAGAACTGGCAAACTTTTAACTTTTTTGGGTAATATAATATAACTTTACCCCCCCTGAACAAAATCTTTCAACTCTAAGCCCGAAGGCCCTAAACCCTGTGGACTCGGCCACCAAGGCACAGCGAAGCATCGGCTGAAGGGGCCTTCCGCTTACAGCTGCCTCTCCTATCACCACGCAGGCGCTAAACCCCAAGCCTTAAATCCCAACCCCTATGAACCCTGAGCCCTAAAACCCTAAGCCGCAAAACCCTAAGCCAGAAGACCAAATCCTGGACGAACGCCTCCCCCCCCTCCCCCCCTTTCAGGTGCTACGCCCTTGATGCTCAGCATCCTCGCTGGCTATTTCTCCGCTGCTCAGGTGCTCTTGAAAGCTGGGGCTCGCGTGGATCTCCGCAACTCTCGAAGCCCCACTTCCCTTCAGCATTGATTTTTGTTTTAGATTGCAGTAGGTAGAGAGGTTTAGGGTTTAGGGGTTTAGGGTTTAGGGTTTGAGGTTTCGGGTTTAGGGCTTATAGAGGGTCCACAGTACCCAAGGCTTCGATGTCTGGTACAACAAGATCGTATCTGTAGGGCACATAGGCACATATCTAGGCTCTAGAACCAAAAAACCACGCAATATAGAGGCTTGAGTAATTAGTTGCCAAGACTATTCCTCAGATTTTCTTCTCATAAGTATCTGGCAAAACCCTATTCTACAGTTAAGGCCCCATAGTACTCAAGTCTGCTAGAGATGGAGAGAAAGTCATTGCCGCTAGGTGCATTTACCATTGGGAGTTGTAGGAAGCACAACGTCGGAGTGACAGTGGCAGTAGCAGCAGACATTTGGTGTAGAATGAACCATTGATTGTCGATGTAGCTCATAGTGCAGACCCCTTAACCAATTTCTTTTCCCTTCATCGGGATGAAAACAGGGATCCTGATGTCAAGGTCCTTGAAGAAAGGCGTTTCATTGGGAAACTCGGAGGTCTTACATTTGTGGTGTCTGACCAGGAAACCGGACTGCTCTTGATTTCGCTGTGGAGAAGTGTGCGCCAGAGGCTTTGCTTGCGGAGTTGCACAGAGGTGCAACGGCATGACAGGAAGCTCTTCGAATTAATTCTTCAGAAGACACGCAGCTGCCTGAAACTTGGCCGTGTGTTGACGTCGATTTTAGAAGATCTCTGAGGGACACCACCATCCTGAACAAGCCTGATCGGACGTCAGAGCTGCGATCAGGATGGTAATCTGGTGTTCCGAACCCAGTAATATAGCGGCCTCAATGATTGGAACGGGGTTTTGGGGTATACGGTATGCTATAGTGTATATATATATACACACATATGCACATACCTATATATAGTCAGCAACCCTTTTTTTTATTGGTAACTGTTCAACTCAGGCCCTTTCAATTTCTGTCCTGCGCGCCGGCGCATCAACTAGGCTGCACACATCAGGGTCCCGAAGGGTCCCCCAAGTGTGACTTCAGATCGCCTGCATAGTGGATTGGGCGTTCTGAGTTAATGTAGGGGCCTTAATTATTAGAGAAGGGTGTCATATAAGCACTATAATTGCAATAAGAAACCCTAACATGGTATTGGAAATTAGAATAAGGAACCCGAATATGGTATCGGTACTTATTTAGGCCCCTGTAGTACTTGTTTTCTCATGTTTCGGCGAAGAATGCTTTTCCGGCTGGCCCTAAACCCTGAACCCCTAAGCCCGAAGTCCTTCTCACATTGACCAGGTGTCCTGTACATACATATACATACACATGCAAATACATGCATACAGATGCATGTACACACACATACACACTTTCATGCGCGTTCATGATATACGCGCTTATACAGATATATATATATATATATACATACATATGCACACATGCGCATACATGACATACTAACACAGATATATACACACATGCATACAGACAGACATTCATGCATACATGCATACACGCATACATGCATGCATGCACACATGCATACATACATACATACATACTTACATACATACATACATACCTGCCTGCATCCATGCATGCCTGCACGCATGCATACACACATACACACACGGCTCCACACATCTGTATCTATGTAAA